TGAAGATGCTAAAGCCCAAACTCAGCCACCATGGCTGGTTTCCTGGGACTTCCCAGGAAGGCCTATATTGACCATAGAGGTCCACCAGGAACAGGTTTCACTCTTATTCCCATCCTAGCTTATTTCCACCTAGCTACTAGGTGACCAGCAGCCCTGGGATTCTGGGGGTAGGTGTCAGGGTAAACCTTTAGGAAAAATCTGGGGCTTCTGGCTCAGCCCTTCCTCATGGCGCCATTACAGGAAGGTTCATAGAGGAAAGACTGGCACTAGTCAGTAGGGGTAGCTTGTGCCAACCAAAGGAGTCCAGGTATCACAGGTGCCAGCTCTGCAGGAAAACCATGGAGAAGACCAGGACTTGCATGGCAAGGCCAGGAATGGGACCTGGGATTATCCTTTGATAGGGATATAACTTACAGATATATATGACCTTTCCTGAGTCAGTGGAGGAAGAACTTAATTCTACAGTCCTTTCCCAAGCTTGGCTATCGGGTCTACTGGTTAGCCTGGCCCAGTTAGGGTATCATGTGAGTGTCTCTTGTCACACCTGAAGGATGACTTCTAGAATTGGCATCTAGGGATGACAAAGTGGGTGAAGCAGACCTGTCCTTTGATATCCTTAAAGTCCAGTCTTAAGTTTTACTATTGACTCTTTCCTATCCTTAAGATGGCCAGTTGTATGGCCAACCCCAGAGAAGTCCTGAGGTCTACAGTGTCGCTTTCCTTTTGGGCCACAGGTGCTTTGCTATAGATTTCACTTGAGCCACTGGGTCTCCTTATTGGTGCCTGTCCTGTTTCCAGGGAAGCACTGGTGGGATGCTTCTAGTCTTCTGGTGTCCCAGAGTGCCTTCCCCATTCTATAGGCCTGTCCTACCTGCGTTCCCTGCTGCCTTATGAAATGGGTCTGCTGAGGCCATTGTGTTTTCTCAGATTCTATCTCTAGAGATGTTCTGCCTTGGTGCTGCCTCTTATAATAACCTCCATGTTTCAACTGTGCAGTCTTGCCACTATCTCCTTTAGGCCAGTTGCAGCCTCCTGTTAGGTGAATGTGACTGACCTTGGTCCTTCCTGGACCCAATGCTGTAACCTGGCAGGGGCTTCCCGACCATGTTGAGCTATAGTCTTTTTGCTCCCTGGCTCAGTCCCTTAGGCCTGTGAGTCCCTAACCTGAGCCTACTCTCCCAGGACCCTGTCTATAGTGTCCTCCACTGTTCCCTGGGTCAACTTTCCTACTGCATCTGCATGTGAAATTTTTTTTCCATAAGAAACCACTTATTTTCCAATTGTATGAAGCTTTCCTTATGACTGCTTATATCACTTAAGGGTAATCTTCCAGTGATGTTGACTACTATACCAAGAATATAACATGACATTTTTTATATTAGAAACATCTTTGTCATAAATATATTCCCCCTTTTTGAGACAGTCTTGCTCTGTCACCCATGCTGGAGTGCAGTGGCACAATCACGGCTCACTGCAGCCTTGACCTCCTAGTGATCCTCCCATCTCATCCTCCTGAGCACCTGGGACTACAGGTGCACACCACCATACCTGGCTAACTTTTTGTAATTTTTGCAGAGGTGGGGTTTTGCCATGTTACCCAGGCTGGCCTAACTCCCAGACTGGAGTGATCCATCCGTCTCAGCCTCCCATGACTGCTGGGATTATAGACATGAGCCATTGCGCCCGGCCAAATTGTTTTATAACTTCAAGAACGTATTGGTTACAAGCTCTTTAACAGGCTTATACTACTACAATGAAAGAACAGAATGCAACCACTTCCATGTGGAACATACTCCAGACCTAGCCCTAAACTTAGTTCATATAAACAATGATGGTGTGGTGGTAGATACCTGCATGTATGCTAACCGTGTTAATCTTAGTTTCCAGGTGATATACTGACAGATTGTATTAGTGTTGTTTTCCATGAAGGGATAAACATGCTTATAAATATTTTCCTATCTCTTATCTACTTTATTGAGTAGAAGATTGGCCTGGGAGCTGCCCGTGGGCCTCCCTCATGACTGAAAATTCCTGGGTTCAGTTGAATACCAAAACTTTTCTCCAGACTTAAAACCTCACAGAATTTTTCTCAGCTTTGTGACAGTTTTATATCACAAATCATTGTGCGGTTTGACTCCTAATATATTCAAAGTCGTACAATCACTGCAACTCTAGAACATTTATTATCCCCAAATAAACTCCATGCCTGCTAATAGTCACTCTTCGTTGTTCCCCCCAACTTCTCTTCCCTGCAGCCATGAGTCTACTGCTCTGACAGAACTTCTTTCACTGAGGCCTCATTCTCCTGGAGGGACTAAGCCTCACTTGGCAACTGTGGAGCTTGGGCATCCTTGCCGTTTAGGCTCTGGGTTTTTGCTTTTCTCCAGGCTGTTTTTCTGCAGGGCTGTTACCTCTGATGTGAGGCCTGCTCTTAACTCCTCTATCTGAGGCCTCCATTGCCAACAACTGAGGGGAACAGACATAGTAGCTGTGGCCACTGACATTGAGACTGGCTATGTTGTTCGAAGTGTGGGAACTGACCCTTCTCCAGGAAAATTCTTAACCTGATAAGGTTGGTCTCCTTTAGAACTTTGAATGTGAGATCTTATTTTTTCCTTGGAGTCTAAGACCCTATTTACATTCTTGCCTATATATAAAGAATGAACCTCTGGCATTTGTTAGAAAAAGTTGTTGCATACCATACCTGGATCTGCCATTTCTGGCTGGCAGGGAAAATACAAATAAACCTTTATCCCTCACTGCCATGGTCATCTTCTCCTGCCCCTGCTTGACTGGATCTTGTCTGCTCTATAGCTTTCAGTCCCCTGTAATACAAGGATGTCCTTGGGCTCTTGCCTCCATGGAGTTGAGCTTACAGGTCTAGTGGGGACCACTGGAGTGTAGTGGCCTGCAGGTTAGTGATGACCTGCACTGTTATCTGGTTGACTTTGATCTCCATTCTCTAAGCTGCCACTTGGCTCTAGTTTCCTGGGCCCATAGAACGAGGGGCCCATAGAACTAGCATCTGTCTCTGGTAGAATTTGGGGCCTGCCAAGTAGAATCCAAGTAGTCCATGGCCTGGCTTTTTTTTTTTTTTTTCCTCTTAATAGCAGGTGGTCAGGGTCTCAGGTTGTATGGGAAGCGAAGGATTTGTGCTTGAAGTTTTTTTTTTTTTTTTTTTTTTCCAGACGGAGTCTCACTCTGTCACCCAGGCTGGAGTGCAGTGGCGCCATCTCCGCTCACTGCAAGCTCCGCCTCCCGGGTTCACGGCATTCTCCTGCCTCAGCCTCCCGAGTAGCTGGGACTACAGGCGCCGCCACCACGCCCGGCTAATTTTTTGTGTTTTCGGTAGAGACGGGGTTTCACCGTGTTAGCCAGGATGGTCTCGATCTCCTGACCTCGTGATCCGCCCACCTCGGCCTCCCAAAGTGCTGGGATTACAAGCGTGAGCCACCGCGCCCGGCCTTGTGCTTGAAGATGAATGCTGCCAACTAGTCATGCCTGGTCACTTGTTACGAAGGCATTGAAGAATTGCCTAGTAGGTGAGTCAGATTTAGTTTGTTTCACCATAGACTTCGATATGGAAACTGCAAAGCACCGTTGGGGTTCAGGGCATAGTCCAGATCAGGCTAGATCTGGGAAGAAGGGACAAACCAAGGATTCTGCTTTGGTCCCCCCCCGGCAGGAACATGGTATAAAAGCTGCTGGGGGGGAACTGGCATTGACCCTCAGTGGGGACATACTAATCAAGGAAACCAGGAGGCTCACCTTCAAGTGAACCCTAGAGAAAGGGGTATTTGAGCTCCTGCAGCAGAGCCCAGGTTGTGACCAAGGACAGGACCTCTTGGGCCTTTATCTCTTAAGGATCTAATGTACAGATACATAGATGTCAGGTGGCCTGTCTGGGGCCACCTTAGTCCTGAATCATGGGATTCCTATTCTTGGATACCTAAGCTTGGGCATTAGGTCTGCTGGTCAGCCTGGTCAAATTCTACCTGGACAATATGGCACATGGGAGTGAACACTTATCCCCTACATGCTGGTTCAGGTGTGATAATACATAATACATAGCTGTTCCTTAGATCTATATCTTGGCCTATCTGTCTTGGAAGGTACTACTCAATATCTGCATGGCAGTATCGGGATGTGGCCACAGTGGCTCCTAAAAGGCTTCTTTTTGGACTTGGTCCTGGAGGGACGACACATAGGTTCCTGTCCCTCTAGCTTCTCCTAAAACCTTCTCCAGTTTCTGGTCCCTATGCCCTTGGGTTAAGATGGCTCTGTCTCTTCCTGTCACTTCTCATGCGGCCTCCTCTGAATTCCCACAGACACTAGAGTCTGCCACAATAATCGGTGGGGAAGAACAGCCTCTGGGTAAATTGACCCAAAGGTGGGCAGAAGACCAGGGGGGTTTAAGGGGGCATTCCTTCTGTGACCTATAATGCTGAAGAAAGCTAGAACTAGATAAGAATGTGTTCATAGAAAAGCATGGGATGTAGTTGTAGGCAAGTACAGGAGTATGCTTGGTCAAGGTGTCCGTGCTGAGGATAGCACTGCTTGGCTAGGGGAACTTGGACAGATGCCAAGGGCAAGGGGCCTGGGACTCTTAGAGACCAACAAGTCCATAGCATAGCCTTATTTCTGTTAGTATCTTCATGCTTCTGAAGCCTGAAAATCTCCCAAGAGGGTAGCTCTTAAGTTTCTGGAACCTACAGTAGAGATGGTTGAATCAATAACGCTGGTTGGTTTATTTTTTGGACAGTTTGGCTCTGTTGCCCAGGCTGGAGTGCAGTGGCACGATCTCTGCTCACTGCAACCTCCACCTCCCAGGTTCAAGAGATTCTTCTGCCTCAGCCTCCCGAGTAGCTGGGATTACATGCACATGCTACCACGCCCAGCTAACTTTTTGCACTTTTGGTACTAATGGGATTTCACCATGTTGGCCAGGCTGGTCTTGAACTCCTGACCTCAGGTGATCCGCCTGCCTCAGCCTCCCAAAGTACTGGGGTTACAGGCATGAGCCACTGTACCTGGCACAATGATGGTGTTAATTTGTGGTATGCTAACATTCTTGGACTACAGGTGAGTGCTTCTACTTATTCCATCTCCCTGCTGTCATTCCCATCAACCCCAGTCACCCACAATCAAATGTACAAGGTCTATTCCCTTGCACTGTCAAAGTGTCATGTGCACACATTAACTACACACCATCTCTGCCCTGCTCGGTGGCACCTGACACACACCTATGTACACATCTAGTCTCTACTGCATGTGGTACTCTGTAGCATGCTGCCACCACACCATTTCCTGCTGCTCTTCCAGGAACAAGCACCCAAATACCACCATCTCTGTCACTACAAACAACACTGAGAACAGTTGTATATAAGTACCCTTATTTACCTCTAGGACAAATTTTCTTACTCTCAGGCATAGAACGGGTTAACTTGACTAAGTTATACCAGACAGTTCTCCGGAATGGCTGCTGCAGTACATGTTCCCAAGACGATGCATGAGTATTCCTGTACCCCAGCTCCTCCATGTAACCCAGCTGTCTAGTACTTGGTAGCCTAATGGGTGTGAAGGGATCTTATTGTGTTGCTTGCATTTGACTTTGAACACTTTCTGACGACAGCAATTTGAGTATCCCTCACTTTTCTTCTGGGGTTCCCATCTGTCTTATTTCAAAGGAATTCTTAGAGAATTCCTTATTGGCTTCAGATATGACACCTTAATCTATCTGAGCTTTATTCACAGTATCTTCCATTGAACAGAAGCTTCATTTTGATACCGCTCAAGTCTGATTTTAGGGTCTGTACTATTAGGGTCTGATGAAGCTGTCTCCTATCTTCAGGTCATATCATTTGTGTTCTCTATTCTCTTCATTTTGCAGAAATAACTCTGGCTAAGAAGCTTTCCTGAAAAGATTAGGAATATACAATGTGATGATATCCAGTTATATTTTTCTTCTGGAGAAGCTGGCTTCCCTATACAAGTTTGTCTTTCACCATTGATTCATGGTAGCTCTTTCATCACTATTAATGCCTGTGTACACTTGGGCCTTGCTGCTTTGGTCCATTTGTCCTTGTGCAAATACCACAGTAGCTCTAGCGTGACCCTAAACTGACAGGGCCGGTCCCCTTCATTCATACTGTGGTTGGTTTTGCTACTTATGGCTTGTCTTCCTCGTGTGAATTTTAGAGTAAGCTTGTGCTCTTAAATTAAGCAAGATCCAACCTCACCAAAAACAAAAAACTAAGGATCTTGGAATTATTTTAAGTTTATAAACTTCTCTAGGAGGAACTAAGTCTTAGTCTATATTCTAGGAACTGATTTTACCTGGATTGTCCTATTAGAACCTTTTCTAATTCCTGGGAACCGTATAGGTAAGAACACTCCCTTTTACTGATTTGCTAATTCTACTAGATCCTGAATGGCTGGACTACTTAGATCTTTGGAAAGTGCCTTTTCCTTCTTCACATATTAATATAGTAAGACACTTTGGGTAGATTTTTCTGAAGTCCTAAGATAAAAGCTACTTGATCATGGTATAATCCTAAATACAATGTTAGACTCAGCTCACTTCTAGCTTAGTTTTTTATATCCATGTGTATAAGCAAAATGGGCCTAAGACACTACTTCTGGCTGGGAGTCGTGACTTCTGTAGTGGTGAAAGAATCATTCTGTCACAAAGCACTCTGCAAGCTCTCCCTTCTGGAATGACTGGGGCACAACCGGGCCTGGAAGGAATTTCTTCCAACTCCTCACACAAGCCCAGGATGGACTTACCCATCGTGGTGGTCTTCCTGTCAGCAGAGCTGATATGTACAAGTCGGGCTGATTCCAGAGCACTTCCCCCCAGTGCCCCCAACACCCCTCCCACCTCAGGGGTTGTCTGGCAAATATCTTCTCCAGCATCATTTCCAGAGGAGTTTTTCAGGTTCATACAAATCAAGGGTCTGAACTTTTATGCCCATTTAAGAGCTTAGCGCCTATTATGTCTCTGGCTTTAGTCAAATAAGAACAGATTATGCTTTTCTAGATTCTTCTGTACTTACAACTTTTTTAGTAGTTTTATTACAGCAGTATATTACTAGACATGCAAAAACATGTTCCTATCACTAGAGATCACTACTATAATGGCTTAGTACTTTTCATATATAAAGATATCTGAAATGACACCAAACTGCAGGTACTCTAACGCACTTATGTCTTTCACATCAATGAGTGCTCGTTCATATTCTAGACTTTCCCACTGACCTCCTAAGTACCATTTATGGTTCATCCAGTTCTCAATCCATTAACATGCCTTATATCTGGCTATATCTAGTTGCAATCTAGTTCTTTTAGATCTTTGGAGCCAGGGAAATAGTCCTGCAGATGTCTTGCCTTCTAGATTGGTTTCAATGCTGCTTAGTGTTATTGTCTAGCTTGTCCCTGTCTTATATCCTAAAGCCTAGAATTAGCATCTAAATTCTTGATGTAGTCTAGCTGAAAGTCTTGAATGTGAATCTGTTACAGATAATAATGTTAGTGTTCTGTGTTGCATTTATGTTAGATACTAATGACAGTATCTCTACTGGATTAGAGGACCAAGAGCCTGATCCCTCAGTTAAATCATCTCTACGCGATTAGGAAGAAATTTGAAGTGTTATTCCAGCATTGGACAAATATCCAGTGTCCAACCTCTGACAAACTATCTATACAAACTGATGATCCTTGCCTGAATCTGGGGTGCTATGCTTTTTAGAGACAGCTCTGGCCCCAGCTACCTCTGCAGAGGGTTTGAGATACCTGCAGAAAGAGGCACATCCTGGTTCTCCTGGGCATTTACCATATTTCCTGCTTCTCCTGAATGAACAGTAGCTATTTCACGTAGTGATCCAAGAGTAAGTGAATCTGCTCAGACTACGTGTGAGCAGAGGCCTGGTGATAAGGACCTAGTTGACTCACAGTAGCCTCTCTTAATAGAGCTTCTCAGTGACTTTTATGCTTAAATTATCGCTGAGATTCCCAAGGGTGCTCTCCTAGGGAAGACAGCTGCTTTGGAACAGATGGTTGCTTACAACTGACTGTGCTAGTAGACATCCTCTAAACATGGAGTCTCCATGCCCTGTACTACTTTGTATGTGGCAGGGAATGGTAGGCCTGTGCCTCAGGTGAATGACCGTATGGGAATTGCAGATTTATGATCATGCTCTGACTTGGGTCAAGTCAACTTTTTGAGGGTTTCGCAGAATTTCACTCAGATCCTCTGTGGCTCACATCAGGCTGGTGCTCTGATTACACCTGTGAAGCCTCTGCAGCTGGACCTCCTGACTGACTTCAGGTCCTGATGCTTTGGGAATGAGAACCTGTGTCACAGAAGCTGCTGAGAAGCGGATGCTCCTAGTAAATGACATAGGCTGCAAAGCTCTGAGCTTTGCCTTGACAGTGACTTATCCCTGTGTCAAAGGGAGGAACTTTCTCTTTGATCTCTGTACAAAGCGATTCCTGAATGTTTCTGGCCCCCAAATGCCTTCCTGTGCTGGTATCTCTAGTATTTAGTGATGGGTAAAGCCTACCATGTATGGGAGGCTACTGTTGGCATCCCTGCCTGGCCTTAGGGGGCTGTTCCCCAGGAGCTGTCTTTACCGATTCTTCAGTGTGGTGGTAGTCCTGTTTCTTACAAGTCCAGCAGGTAATGGGCCAAGAGAATAAGGACCTTACTGTCGGTGATCTTCATGACCATCTATATGCCTTCTCTATTTCCCAGTCCCCATGCATCTGGTCACATGACTGATCTCCCCGCAACATGTGAGTAAAGGCAATGTTGCTTCTGGGTTGACTTGGCTTGAATTGGAGTGGCTCTGCCTTCCCCATGCTTCTGCCATGCAGAAGTGACCCTGCCTGGAGGCCCCACCTATTCTAGACAATGCAGCTGAAGATGAAACATTCCTAGGCCTACACTAGGAAGAGCCTTGTGCATACCGCCTTACCCCCTTGATGTGAACAAAAACCTTTGCCACACTGCCTGGATCTGAATCTGTTATGATGGCACTGCTTACTATTACCTGGACAGATGCTTGTCCTCATGGACTGGGAAGCTGTCTCCCTACTAACTTCATCACTGCCCATCTCCTTGCCTCAGCTGAGACGGAATCATTGCTGTTCCTGTGATCTATGACTAGTTGCTCCCTGCAGCTATGACTTTGTGGCCCTTCTGTGCTTGGGGGTTGATTGCCCCAGTGAGACATGTCTCTTTTATCCGGTCCTTCGATCCATGCTAGTTAGAAACTAGCTTAGAAACTAAGCTCTGATGCTTAGTTTCTTTCTGGCCTTTGTTGATGTTGGGCCCCAGAGAATTACCTGTCATATTAACCTTGCTTCACCTCTGTTTCTGGAAAACACCACAGTCTTGTTTTCCTGGGTGCATTCTTGGCTCTTAGGCCACCTTCAGAAAGAGTTTAAACATCTTCATCTACTTTGGTACAAACTAAAGACAGAATACCACTGGTTTTTCCATAGATACCTTGAGCTAACAAATATTACTTTCCCATACTTCTAAAGATGATAAAATGTCATCTTTATCTGCTAAACACCAAAGTTAGATCTTGGATTAAAAATTTTAAGGGAAAACACTTGAGAGTTCTGCCACAAGAATATTGATAGAAAAGCACACTGTTTAAAAACCGATACTCCATCTGCTTGATGTTCTGATGTTGCTTCTAGCCTTCATTTAGCGTATGGGGACTTAGGCATGAATCTGGTTCTATGGCACACATGTAGACCTGGGGGGCTATTCAGCCGGTCAGAGGAGCCCAAACATTGCTCTTGGCCATTTGAATTGGTGCCTTGGCCTTATCAGATATAAAGACCTGTACCAATACCTCCTGACCTGCCACTGGCTCACTGCTGCTCAAGGTTCCTCCCTGGGGCCTGCCCATAAGCTGGCCTGGGGCCTCTTCCTGCTCCATGGAGAACTGGAACTCCACTGATGGAGAATGACCAAGGCTGGATAACCGGGTCAACCAGCCCCTGACTAGAAGGTACCACAGAGCGTGTACTTTATGCCCCAGAGACCATCCTGTGGCCCAGGGCAGAACAGCCTTTAGAAAAGCAGGAGGCTGTGGTGGGATTCCCAGGATTACTGCCTGGAGCCTTGCTATCGGGAGCCCCCAGCTGCCTGGGTGTGGGGGTCAGGGGCTGGGGATACCCTGGGCTTGGATCCTTGCCTTGCTTGTCCTACACCAGGTTTGGAGCCCTGCCCTGGCATCTTCTCTCACCTTTCCTTTGAGTCTCCATTCCTTAAACAGGGAGGGCAGGAAAGGACACAGGAGGCAGCACCTGGAGATCTCTCCTTATGCCCTGGCTCGCCGCCCTGCTCAGCATGTATGTGTATGGGGGCTTATCTTTGGGGATCATGGTCCTGGTCCCCCCTGGCCTCTTTCTTCTCCCAGCTGGGACTTCCTGACATCCCCTAACTCGGGGTTATCTCCATGGGCAGCAGCATGGAGGAAGGTGTTTGTGTGTCTTGACAGGTTGCTGCTTCACTTAGACTCTAACCTCTCCTGTTTGCTCATGTCAGTATTCATCAGGACTGATCTGGATGTTCCTTGTACTGTTTTTGGATGTCTAGGGACTAAACTGGCCTTGGACTACTAGGGTATGGGGCTGTTGTGGCTGTGGACGAGACACTTCAGCGTGTTCTCTGAAAACTCAACACAGACAGGGCAAATGTGGGTAAGACCCTGCATTTGTCATGGTCTCACTCCTGGTTACCTACATGCAAACTTTCTTCCTGTTTTTGACATCTCTTACCATCCTGAACTTTGGGTTGGGACATAGCTGAGCACTCTCCCCTCCCTGATGGGGAGGCAGTTGTGTGACCGTAGCAGGGAAGGATTAATCCTTAGGGAAGCATCCCTAGGCAGTGGCTCACCAGCCTTCTTTCTGGCATCTGGCCTGTTCTGCCCCATATGTTGAGGTTCTTACCCCTGGAGTTAGTTGGGGTACAGTGGTGACCAGGGAAAACATGCTGAGTTGATGGGATACCAGGAGTCCCCATCACTCCCTGAGGGTGGCCCAATCAACCAGGTAGGATATATGGACATGCTTAACACTGCATGTATAGTGATGCTAGGCAAGCTGCCCATAAAGACTCCTATAACTGAGGCCACAGATCACCTACGTATAGAGGTTCTTAGACTAAGTCAAGGCATAGCACTATCAGATGCAGAGAGAAACTAGGGGTGATATTGGAGAAGGAGCTTATTTCATTCTTTCCCAACTTATAAGATTCACCAGAAGATAGGTTTAACTGCTCAAGTCCTTCACCATGAGTCTCTTTGGAGAGACTAAGATGTTCTGTGGCAACTCCAGAGGCTTGGAAGGCTTTGGAAGCTGAAGGTCCACTTGCTGGCACTTGTCCTGAGCTGGTCCAGACTTTGGGACTCCTCTTTGAGATCCAATGTCTGATTTCATGGGCATCAAGTCATGCCCATATAAAACATACCAATCTCATGTCTAGACTATCATTCCTATCAAGAAATAAGGCTGAAATTCACTATGTCTGCAGGGACAAAGCAAGTTATAGCCTTGCTGGGAGCACTGGTTCTCCTGAGTGGCATAAATCTTTCCTGTGAGAGTCAGCTGGTGCTGGGACCTTAGCAGCTCAAGTTTTCCAGCTGGGCTATCCTGGGAGGACTGGGGCCAGATACAGAGGGGGCTGGGTGTTGGCGAGGAATCTGAGGGTGTCTTTATCACATTGTATCAAGGGGAGAGAACAAACTGTCTTGCCTGTGTGGTATCCCTGGGCCTCTTCAGTCTCATACCTTCTCTTTTCTACCACCTCAAAGGGGAGTGGCCTTGGGGATATAAGAAAGAAAAGTGGCTGTAGGGATGGGGTTGCTTAACAGGGCTACATCAAGGTGGAAGCTGCTTTGCCTACAGCGTTCTAGACTAATATCCTAGGAAGCAAGCATGAGAAGCCTAGAGGGTTCTAGGAAGATGTTAACTTCTGTGGCCTTCCTTACCCTAGCCCTAGGATGTGCTGAGATAGAAACAAATGACCCAGGCAGAGGGCCTCAGATGGGTGTGGGCGACAAGCAGGAGGCAGTGTGGTAAGACACTGGATCTCAAGGGATCTGACTCTGGATCCAGGCAGCATTTCTGGGGATGATGGAATCTGTTTAGACAGCAGAAATTGGGGAAAGGAAAGAAAAGGGGAAAGGGGCCAGTAAACACCCAATGGTTGGTGTAGAAGTTTGAAAGTCTCTATATGGACCTGAGGTCTAGCCTAACACAAAATAATGCAGAACTGTGACATGGAACTAGCTTCAAAGGGCTTGAGCTCAGAGGGTTTTGTAGAGAAAACTATGGGACAATTGGGTTCATCTAGGTTCTCACATGGCCCTCCCAGCCCTGAGAACTGTTAGTGACAGACATACTTCAAGCATTATAACATCACAGTCTAGGAGATGGCAATAGGCTCCCAGGGCCAGACTGTCTATGGAGAGAAGTCTTGGCGTATCTCTCCTGGGTACTATGGCCTCCCTAACTCTCTACCTCCTCACGGAGAGATTTGTGCTACTGGGAAGCCGTGACTATGCTCTCACTACATCCTAGTAGCATGGCTCTGGAGCTGGTCCTCTGTCCTGAGCAGAAGGTGGCTCTACATGAGGCTGTCCAAGCTACCACTTGTTCCTGGCCTGACCACATCCAAGACCAGGCAGAGCTCAAGTACATATATCCTACAAATACAGGGGTACCTTCTTTTCTCCAACTCAAGCCCCTTGAAAGGATAAGAGGCCCTGTGGGGAGAATAGGTAGGAGGCTGTAGGTTAGAGTCTGGAGAACCAACCCCCTGCAACAGCCAGGTCTGAGGGTAAAGGCTAGAATGGTAGGTAGGGGGGAAGTGCTGCTGTCTTAGGCTATCCCCAACTTGTGGGCATTCTTCAGAGCCATGCAAAGACCACTAGGTGGACTGAACTGGTCTGAAGCACTGGCAGCTATGAGATGTCACCCAATGCAGAACTTTCCAGATTCTTTGTAAAAGGTGTTGGTGTTTCAAGTCAACAGTATGTGTTCCTTCTTGAACCGGAACTTGTGTTGGACCAAGCTGGAGTTGAAGCCAGACACTGCTGGGCTTGGATGGGGGCCCCTGATCTGTGTGTAGACCTCAGCAGAGGATGACAGTGGCCAGTGGTGGCCCTGCAGCTGGGCATCCTCACCTCAACACTGAACAGAATACGTCAGCAGTAGATTCCCCAACAGTCATTGCTGTGGAGCAGCCAGGAGATCTTCCCAGCAGGCATGCAACTGACACAGGAGAAAACTAGCGATCTTTCTTATCTTTCTCTGGGAGCACCAGCCTTTCCCACAAGTGGCATCTGATTCTCCCCTTGGAGTCCAGGACACACAGGGAACCTAGAGATCCACATGACTGAGTAAGCAGAGCTCCATTTAACTCTGAACCTGTCTGTCCAGGCTGGCCCATGGGATGGCTGGGGCTGTCTGGCCCTGGGAAGACATGCTGAGAAGACCAAGCCACCTCTGCTCAAAGGACTTACAGCTCTTGTGTGGGGCTCATCCCTATACTACATGACTTGGTTACTATTCCTTCTGGGAATCTTCAGTTGCCTCACAGACTAAACCTCTTGCTAAAACAAGACTTCAGCCTCAAGGCCCCTGGTTCATACTCATCAGAAATGTCTTCTCACATCTGCCTTAAAGACTCCCACATTCTTGTTACAGTTCCTGGACATCTATTTATTCAGGTAAAACCTCCCCTATCCACAGTGGCATTTGGGTTTCTGCTTGTACCTAGTTATGTGTGGACTACATTGGGTACTGTCGCCCATTCTATCAGGGGTCGTGAGGGCACTGAGCAGCCCCTTCAGGTTGACCAGGGCAGTAGCTGAGTCCTTATCTCTACAGAACCCAGGGCTGTACCAGGGGTGACTGTTCTGACCCCCATTTCACCTCTGTAGGTTACAGGACTCTGGGGGAAGAGTTGGCAGACTTGGGCCAAAACCAACATGAAGAACCAGAAGTAGCAAACATGTATGTCTGCTAGAGGCAGATCAGTGCCTAGACTACTTATGCTACCCACTCATTACCTGTGACTGGTTGAAGGGGTGGGGTGAGATGTGCCTACAGGGCCTGAGGCTGTGATGTAGCCCTGGGGGGCCAAAGCCTTCATGCCTTCGCTATGGCTGAAGGTCAAGCCTCTTCTCTTGGGAGAGATGAGACCAGGAGAGTAGAAGACAATGGATTATATACTCCTGTTCCTGGACTAGCCTCAGGCCTGTGGCAAGAAGGGGTGCAGATGATCACAAAGAATAAAGGGATGAGGGGGGCTGACCATTGTAGTCTAGACTCCAGTGTATCATCCTAACAAAGTCATGAAAGTCTTTTTTTTTTTTTTTTTTTTTTTTTGCTCAGAAGCAGGCACTGCCCCATCACCCTGGTAGCAGTAGCCCTGCAGCACAGGCCTATGTGTGGAAGCTGGCCTTCTCATGGTGGTTATGGCTTGGCATAGGGACATTCCCTTGGTGGCTCTGAGTGAAGGCACTCCCAAGCATTTTCCTTGCAGACTGGATTATCTCTCCCTTAGCTGTGGTAGAAGAGACCTCAGGGCTTTCATCCTACGTGAACAGGTAAGGACCAAACCTGGAAAAGTCGGAGTTAGCTACATGAAACTAGCTTTGCTTGCTATCCCTGGCCACCTGGATACTCTGCCTGTGTTTGGGGTATACTTTACCCTCTTAGTGGGAAGCAGCACTCACTTGCTCTTATGGCAACAGAAATTCCAATAACCTTTCTCCCAGTCCCTTTTGCAGGTAGAGAATAGACAGGTGACCCAGGCTCTATGGATCAGACGAATCCTTCCCAGACTTGGAATAGAAGCCAATGAGGCAAAGGTTCTAGGACTTGATACCTTCCCAACTGACAGTTGCAACAAGACCAGGCTTTGGGCAGCTCTGGCAGTGGCCACACCTACATCCTGCAAGTGGGACAGCATTTAGGGCTTGGTGGGGCCAGATGTATCCTCAACCAGGCAGGTCGGGTGTGGCCTCGGAACCTCGGGCACCAGTACTCCTGGGAGTTCTGCAGGCCACCCCTAGTTTTCATCGAGTTCTTTCTGCTTAATCCAGCGAGACTTTTGTTGCTGGTGGCTGGGAACCCGGGATGAGAATTTCCTAGCTGGGCTGGCTGCAGAAAACTGTGTCTTCAGGGAAATTACTGGTATGCTGGCCTGGTTAGGGCTGAAGTCGGTGACAATCAGGCTAGCACTGAGTTGAGGCTCTCACAGCCTGTGGCATGTGGAGACAAAACAAATTCTTACTGAGAATGAGATGTCCTTCAAGCCGTCCTGCCACCACCAGCTTAATCACCTTTGTCACACCTTTCATGTTTTAAAGGAGGAGCTTGCCACTCAAAGCCTCACCTTTAGTAGATGGGTGGCTGCTGGGCCTCGCTTCTCCTTAGAAGGCACCACAATACCCTGGGCTGCTTTGGTGTTTGAAGATGGCGTATGTCATACTCGAGCCTTATCAGTGGTGGTGTAACAGACTGGCAGCTTCGAATGGTTCTCAGAGCAAGCAGAGACCTGGCCGAGACAGGATGGAGCTGCAAAGCCCTGCCACTTTGTTCCTGTGTCACAGCAGATTGCTGGCATCCCAGCCTCTAGAGAATGAGGCCACTGTATGGAACTTCCAGCAAGCCCCCAGGAGCAGGAGAATCTTGGTGAAGGCCTCTAGGGTTTGAGGGTAGAGCCAACCTGCCTTCCACCTGTAGCGGCTCTTGAAGTGGTGCTTGCTATTTGGTCTCTATAGAAAATGAATACTGCCTACATGACCTGGGTATGAGTTGACACACCCAGCTATCACTGGGCATGCCCAGTGGTCTTAATTGAAGTCTTTCATAGGAGGCATCAGCAGTTCCTAAAAACACGTAAGTAGCATGAACAGTTGGCTGATTTGTACGCCTAATTGTATCGCACTGTTACCCACGCCTACAATTCATGGAGAAAGCCTAGGGACTCATAAGTGGCTCTAGACAACATGCTGGTATCGGCTGGATAGACTTCTATGGCATTCTAGCCCCATTCAAGGTGACACTGAAGGACTATTGGGAAGGGATCTTCCTAAAGGGCAGAAATTCACACAGGTCACTGTCTCTTGCCTAGAAGGCTTCAGTCTAAAATGAAGATCTACATAGATCTATGATTTGAAGGTTAAAGATGTGACTGGTTGGTCATGGACTTGGAGCAAGATGACGTGAGTAGTGACAAGGTTTAGGACAGGAATGTACAGATAGGGGCCTCACAGATGGGGGCCTTAGAACAGATGGCAAGTGTGAGATCTCTTGTGAATGCTCGTGAAGACGTGACTCTGGACAAGGATCTTGCTTAATGAGTGGGGCACCTGACTGTAAAATGGTCAGCTTCCTTCCCTAATCACCCCCATCCTTGCTTGAAGGAGTCATGGATGAGGAACCATGGGAGGAAGGAGTTAAGGCCCTGCATGGCATCTGCAACTTGCCTTTCTCCCGAGGGCTGAACTCTCAGCTGCTAAGACCAACTTGAAACAACTGACCCTGGGCCCCTCAGTAAGGCATCTTAATACTGGGAGATCCAGTCACCTACCAGTCCCCATTGGACTTCTACCATGGAGTGGGAGGGTACTGGCCATTTGCCATGAGCAGATATTCCTTGGATTTATACCTGTCCCTGCCTGACAGGCTTGCTTGAAAAATACTATCTGTGAATTTGACATTCAGCTTCATTGTTCCTCATACAGCATTGCAACTGGCAAAGGAACTCCTGTCTCAGCACAAGTGGATCAATAGGCAGAAGCCCATGGCTATTGTGCACCTCAACTCCCAGGAGCAGCTGACTATATGAATGATGGGAAGTCTTCCGAAACCTCCATTATGGTGCTACCTGGGATCCACTGCTTTGGGAGGCTGGAGTACTGTCAGTAGAAGGGATGGCATGTGTTCTGAACCAATGACTGCGATAGTGTCTTCCTCATAGCCAGACTGCTTGGACCCAGATACTCAACAGTAGAAACAAGGTACCTCTCAATGTAACAGCTAACGTCCTACTCCTAACTTGGCTTGCTCTCCTGGGTTTGTGGGTTCTGCTAGTTTTGGAAGCCTTAGTAACTTAGGGAGGAATGCTTCTACCAAGGGAACACAACTTTATCACTAAAGTAGAAGTGGGGACAGCCTCTGGTCACTTGCACCTGCCGCTTTGAACAGGCAAAGGATGGTTACAGAGCTGGCTGGGGAGTTGGTGTCAAAGATCACCCTCTGCATAGTAGAGGCTGGGGAAGTAGTCCAGGGAATCCCAGGCCAACCTCCTGCCACTCAGGGGTGGGTAAATAGATGACAGCCTAACCCTGGCCATAATACCAAGGGTAAACTTACATCAGTAGAAAGACTTCGGATCATTCCAACACCTAAATCAGCTGAAGCTGTAGATTAAGGGAAAGGGAACAAATAACCATACCCTTGTAACTGCTCTAATAAAATGTCTCTCATTTGTATTTTCCTTATGGTAACCAGTATATCTCCTTTATAAAAGGTAAGGTGGAGGCAGCTTGCATATTCTAGTTCATAGGTCACAATGTCATGATAGGATTGGGATAGCTCTAAAAACAGAATGCCTGTCACCTTGTATTCATCTTTCTTACACTACTGTAAAGATACCTGAGAATAGGTAATTTATAAAGAAAAGAGGTTTTAATTGGCTCATGGTTCTGCATCAGCTTGGCTTCTTCGGAGACCTCAGAACACTTTCAATCATGACAAAGGAAATGCATCACAGATGGCAGGAGCCAAGAGGTCAGTGGTTGGGGGTGGGTGAGGAGTCTCAGAACTCACTATCATGAAGACAGTACCAAGAAAAATGATGCTAAACCATTCATGAGAAGTCGCCTCCCACCACATTCCACCTCCAACACGGATTACAATTCAATAGACTTGGGTGGTGACACAGACCTAAACCATATCACATGTGATACTGGATTAGAGCAGAATGTAGCAGACCTGGGTGTTCTGCCAGGGAGTAGGAATCTGGAAACGGATGGGCAGATATGAGTAATTATATCACCACCTTGAAGAATAGGAAGAGTAGATACTGCTGTTAGTAAGAGGGGGTGGGGTGGACTGTAATGAAGAGCTAGTGTTTTTTTTTGCTGTTGTGTGGGGTTTTTTTTTTTTTTTTTTTTTTTTTTTTTTCTGTAGACTTGTATGACCTCTCTAGCTCCCTCATATGGTCAATGAGCCTTGGTAGGAGTCATCTACCATAGAGTATCTCAACTTCCTCAGCTAGTTCTATAGCACATGCTTGCAGGGTGGCGGCAGTGAGTCCCAAGCAGTTCTGGGCTGTGGTATCTTTTCTGGGGGGTATTTCTGGCTGAGCCTTGTTCTCTGGCCCTGATTCTGTGGGCTACGTATTCCTTAGTAAACTCCTTTTCTGCTTAAATCACACGAAGTCTGTTTCTGATATGGCCACTGGGTAAAAAACATTTAAGATGCTCCAAATGTGTGATCTTTGGCTATGACTAAGCCACTGTCTCCAGATGTGCTAGGGGGCCCCGCTGGTCCCCTCAGCCTGTGTATCCTGACTTGCCTTAAAGGCTGATTCTTTGTTTAGCCTTGATACCTACCTGTGGGCAGCATCTGTAGGACCGTGTTGGACCTGCTTGTGAGCTTCCCTATGTGGGTAGGTGGCCTTAGCCTGCTTCCACATTCCAAAGGCAGCTTTCTTTAGGGTCCCCTGTCCTGATATTGCACCCGTCTGTGCTTGGAACCCCCTTCCCCACCCCAGGCTTAGCACCCTAAATATCTAGCTTTCATCTAGGGAAAGCCCACCAGGGGCTATGTGACACTTATACCTGATCCTTCTGGGTTGCTGGGCACCTCTGACCCAGAGCCTCTTCCTGCCTTTCCTGCATGGCTCAAAGTCCTGAGCAAGATGCTGAGCAGTTTTCTAAGCCCAGAGGGGAGAAGTGGTCCAGTACAGTCCTAGTTCCTGTCTTGAAGCGTTCCTTCTAGGGCTCCTAGGGGTTGTGGGCAGTTTGAACAGTAAGAATCCAGTATTCTTTGCCTCTGTCCTGAGGAACAGCCAGGACAGTGCCTGGCCTGCCCCCTCTCACTCCAGCAGTGCTTTGCTTAGTCCCCCAAACACAAACCTACTTTGGCCTGTGGTAAGGAATACCACTCCTGTCTTTGACCTCGGTGCCAGGTGGGCTAGAGGGCCCTGATGGAACTTAGCCATGGTGTGAACTCAATTGCCAAACTTCAGCTGGAGATAGAGGTACCAGCTGGTGATAGTGCCTTGGATAAGACTATCCAGGAGAGGAGTCACATGGTCTCTATTCACTGCTGCCTCTTGTGTCTGCCCTGAATATCTAGGGCAGAGCTGGATAGAGCTGTCCAGATGCAGCTCATGTCTTTTAAAAGCTTCCTAATTGGTCTCTGGGTTTTCATTCCTGTTCCCTTCCCATCTATCCTCAATGTTTCAAGTGTAATTTTTATAAGCACACAACATGGGTTATCCCTGAGAGCCCGTGACTCCTAGTAGAAACTCAGATGCTGTCTAGCAGAGTCCTGACTCCAGTCACTTGCTTCCAGAAACAATTGTCTCACTCCTTTATACCACCTGGGTTATTCCCTGTGCATAGGTCTCCAAGGCACCCTAGTGCCCAGGAGCAGCAGTGCTTAGTATGGGCTGGGTGTGAAGTCTGGAAGACTCGATCCGCTGTTTCCGACTGAGGAAGGTGAGGTAGGAACTGCACCATGCCTCACTGTGATGCTCCTGCAAGTGGGGCTTGTTGAGAGAAGGTGACTATTGGCCGGGTGTGGTGGCTCATGCCTGTAATATCAGCACTTTGGGAGGCCAAGGCGGGTAGATCATGAGGTCAGGAGTTCAAGACCAGACCGACCAACATGGTGAAACCCCATCTCTACTAAATATACAAAAATCAGCTAGGTGTGGTGACACGTGCCTGTAATCCCAGCTACTCAGGAGGCTGAGGCAGGAGAATCGCTTGAACTGGGAGGGGGAGGTTGCAGTGAGCTGAGGTCATGCCACGGCACTCCAAGCCTGGCGACAGACTGCATCCTAAAAAAAAAAAAGACTATTGCTAATACCTACCTGGCACTTAGGATGCTGTTATGCTTTCCCATGCATGAACTCATTTGGTCCTCACAGGCACATGGAAAGTACTGTCCTCTTACAAGCGAGGACACAGAAGCCTAGAGGAATCATTTGCCTAAGCTTATATGGTTGGGAAGTGGTAGAGCCAAGACTTTATTTCAGGCTGTCTAGTCCTAGGGTGTATACTCCCCCAATATCTTATGAGATCTCAGAGCCCAGTTGACAACCTTAACACCCATCTCTTAACATTTCACAAAGCTTGTTTTGTCACTTTATACCCTATCACCCATTAATCTTTTTTTTTTGAGATGGAGTCTCATTCTGTCACCCAGCCTGGAGTGCAGTGGTGCGATCTTGGCTTGCTCCAACCTCCATCTCTTGGGTTGAAGTGATTATCTTCCCTCAGCCTCCCGAGTAGCTGGGATTACAGGCATGTGCCACCACGCCAGCTAATTTTTGTATTTTTAGTAGAGACAGTTTTGCCATGTTAGCCAGGCTGGTTGCATTTCAAAATAAGTTGCAGTCACCTGTATACTTTCCCTAAACACTTCAGCATACATATTAACTGGAATTTGAGATTTCAGCTTTGTTTTTTGATGTAAAATTGACATGAACTAATGCTTTCAACCACCATGCTCTACTGCTGTGCTCAGGGAACACAAGACAGACCGGGCCATCAAATGGTTATTTTATGAGTGTTCACTGAACTGTCATATCTAAGAGGACTCATGGTTATGAAGGTACAAGAAACTCCCTGCTATGGGAGCTCACACCAGATGCAAAATTGAGCAGCACCCAGTGAGGAACACGGAGACACAGTGGAAAAACAAGCTTAAAGCAATCCACACACAAAATCAGGGAAGGCTTTGCGGAGAAGGTGCTGGGTGGAGTTTTGAAGTAAGACACAACTGGCCGGAAATGACGTCTTAGGTGGCAGGCACTGCAAAGCCAGGGAGGTGTGAAATGGGGTGGCTTACATAGCTGCAGGCAGCCTGGTGTTGCTGGAACATAGAATGGGCATAGGAATGTTGGTTCTCTATTGCTGCAAGAAATTACTAACGATGACTGCAGACTTGGCTGAAAACAACATGAACTTATAGTTTTGGGGGTCAGAAGTCTGAAGTGAGTCTCACTGGGCTAAGATGAAGGTGATGGCAGGGATCCCTTCTGGAGCCCCAGGGGAGAAATGTTTCCTTACATTTTCCAGGGTCTAAAAACTTTCTGCAGTCCTTGGCACTTGGCCCTCTCCTGTCTTCAAAGCCAATGATGGCTGGTGGCATCCTATGCTGCATCATGTTAACACTGCTTTGTCACATGTAACTCTCTTCTTCCATCATAAGGACCCTGGCGATTACACCTAGGACTCACCTGGATAACCCATGATGATCTCAAGATCTGAGCCTCTTTTGCCATGTGAGGTAACATAAGCATGGGTTCTAGTTATCAGGATGTGAACATCTTTGTAGGAACCAGTATTCCACTGGCCATGGAGGGACTGGGTGGCAGGAACCCTCAAGGCTATATGAGCTGGTCTTGGGCTGAGCCTCCTGGGAGGAGGCAGCTTTGAATGGACTCAGCCTAGCAGAGAGAGGGTTGAGTGGCATGAGGAGAGGGGAATAGTCCAAGTCTTCTCTACCTGTCGGGCTTGGCACAGAGGAGATACCCAGGATGAATTTGCAAAATGAACAAAGGAGGTGAGCCTGACTGGCGGCCGGGTGCAGTGCAGGGAGCAGCCAGTGTTGAGCTGAGTGGAGATCTCCCAGGGAATAAGCCAGGGACCGCAGCGGGAGGGGGAGAGGCTCTCCACTCCTGAGGGTTAAGACAAGTCTATTACTGTTTCCTTGTCACTCTGTCACCCATCTAATGGCCATCGATAGTAGTTGAATGAGAATTGATGGGGAGATAGATTTAATTAACCCCAGTGTCAGCGGCTGCCGGGCCACAGGTTTGTGTGTTAATAGAGCTGCTGCCCAGCCTCTCCTGGGCTTTGACTGGGAGCCTGAGGCCAGAGGAGCAATTCTGCTCGGCAGCGGCAGCGGAGGTGGCCTGGCAGAGGGAGGAGAGAAGCAGGAGCTTGGCTTGGGCTGCTGCTGTCTTCCACTGAGACCTGACAGCCACCTTGTTGGTCACGACTGGGTCACCTGGCTCTGCTCTCTTGGCTGGAGATCTGAGCAGGATGAGGAGGAGGACCCAGAGCCCACTGTGCCTCCTTGGTCTGAAGACAAGCATCCTGGGGGTTCTACCTGGCATCCAAGTCACCCAGCGCAGCTCTGTTCTTCATGGCCCCCAGCTCAGTGCCGGACTGAGACTCCTAGCATAGAGTACATGCTCCATGCCTGGCTCTCCCTGTCCCTCTGTTTTTCTTGATCTAGATGCCTCCCATGCTCCCGGCATGTC